AGGGCGTAGTTTAAATTGAGTTAGTTTTTTTTCTGTAGTTACTTTTTGTCATTATTTCACACTAAATCTATACAAATAAATATAATTGAATTGAACTGTCTGTTACGTCAATATAACAGCTTTTTACTAAATTTATATGAACGTATATACGGTACTAGTAACAAAAAAAAAAACTATTTTTAAATTTTTTGTCGGTCAGTCTGTTTGTTCCGGCTAATCTCCGATACGGCTGGACCGATATTGACGGGACTTTCACTGGCAGATATCTGATAACATAAGGAGTAACTTAAACTGTTTTTATTTTAGAAAAAGAATTAGAGTTCCGAGCAAAATAATTAAAACCCACGGCATTCAATTGTAATAAATTCCACGCGAGCGAAGTCCCAGAAGACCGCTAGTCTTGACATAATAAAATTCAGGATACCGTCTGGATACTTCAGACTTAAAATATGACATAAAATGAAGCTTCAACAAGTAGGTATCTTTTGAATTAACAAAATATTCACAAAACTACCTATATGAAATAAGTTATTATTTTACTTTACAGTAATATTCTTTAATTGTAGTTTTATTGTAAAATATTATTAAAATAATATGATTCTAAACATCATGTATCTTAACAATAACAAACGAAAATTGGCCCATGTTAAGTACGACGAAGTGTCTAAGAACAAAGCTTGAAGGATCTTTACCCGAGTTACAAAACAGTTGTTCAAGACGTGATAAATGTACAAACTGTATATTATGCTAGAATGTTGTGAATACGGGTTCAAATGCCACACGGGTCAAATCTTTGTTTCGGATCTTTACAAATAATATTGTTTCGGATCGTAATATATGTTCTTGTGTAAATTATATGTAAATGGTCTCCACGATGCAGAAGGAAATCCTACCGCGGAGTAGAGTTTCAAAATTTTAAAAATGTAGATACAAAACACTCTTTATGTGTTAATATTAAAAAGTTATTTATCTTTTTCGTGTCCATATATTACATTATAAATATAAGTCCACTGCTAAACATAAGTCTCCCCCACAGATTGCCTCATGAGGGGTTGGGGATTTTTCTATAGTTGCCACGCTTGGCAGGCGGGTTCGCAATCGCAGTTTTAATAATTTTAAGTTGTTGTCAGGAAGTGGCGGGTGCCCATCTTCTATATCAATTTCCTTCTGTCGCCTCTTACGACACCCACGGAACGATATAGGGATAGTGGACATCCTTACGCCGCCACTACACGGTTTCTCTTCTTCCCTCTTCTTTTATCTCTTAGCAATAATAATGAGTTAACAAAAGAAAAACAAACTGCTTTTTTCCAAAACAAAACACTCCTTTTAAATAAAAGCTTTTTAGAAATAAAAGTATTTACCCGAAGCTACACAAAACTGATTTTTATTATATCCATTGGATAGCTCAAACTCTTTTTGTATTTCGTTTTTTCAATTTTGAATGCAAATATGATAGTACAGCTGCTGGATTTTAATATAACTCACAAACGTTCACTAGTAACATAACTCGAACTATTTTACACTAGAGTAAAATAGTTCGAATTACATTTTTTAGTTAAATACACTATTTGTTGCATACATGAATTATCCACTCCGGCCCGCAAGCTTCGCGGAGCCACCACCCCTCACGACAAGCTCAACGCTACGGTGGAACACATAGGACTTATCGACCCAATATGTTCTTTCCAGTGCGTCTAATCGCCCAACGTCTTACCTTAAACACCGTAATGGCAGCACAGCCGCTAGGTGGAACAAAACCACGCTCTCTGACTGTTATGTACTTCAACGCACACGGCTTCATAGACCAAAAGATGATAATTACTAGAATCAGGCGTTACTTTGCGGAAAACATTTATAGAAGATATTAAATGTTACTATGCAACCAAAATTTTCCTCGCCCTCTTTAAATTGCTTGCACTAATTACGTCACCAACAATCCCAGCACCACTACTTCCAGCACCTACTCCACTCTACTCCAGGAAATACTCACCATCGACGATCAAACGTCCATTAAATTTAGTACCTTCGAATTTTTTCAAAGTTTCAAAGGAAAGCACGCTGCAAGCTTAACTAAGCATCAACTTACAAAATTATTCATTATTTTTGATTAATGTCTTTAAAAGGATTTCCTATCCCATTGTTTTGACAAGAATAATGAAGAATAATGTTAGAATTTTTCGCCTTCTCTTGTTACACATCCCAAATGATGATAAATGATTATGCAAGACAAATTGTTTTGCCACAAAAATGTCAGTGCCATTCTTTCTTTAGAATTCGTTAATATTTCCCTTCATTTATTCTACTTCAAAAAAAATGCAAGGAAATATAAAAATATTTATTTTAAATAACTCTTTTTTACATTGATTTATTTAAATATAAGCTTAACTGACCAATAGAGACGTGGTAGAGCCACGCTGCAGCTATATTACGGTTGTAGCACTAATGAGTCGGCTCGACCGGGGAAGGACCACGCTTTCACAGAATACCAGCTTAAAAAAGCAACATAATACTGCTGTGTTTCATACGAAAATGAGTGTAGAGATCGGAGACCCTTTTTACTGGAAACGAGGCATTCCATCTTAGTTCTCAGGGGTGACAACGCTTCTGCGTTTTGATTTTTAATCGAGGATAAATGAAGATGTCTATGGGACACTGCACCCACTTACCATCAGGTGGACTGTGTGCTAGTTTGTCACCCTTATTCTATAAAAAAAGAAACTGACTGAGAAATCAGCTCATCCGTAAGTGGCCATTGTTTCTCAAAGATCACAGATACACTTACCTATCCTTGATCAAAATAAGATTGAGGGGATAATAATCTTTGATAATTAAGATCAAATTCCCTATTCTATTACCGTTACCGTTGTTATCATTACAGCCTTTTAAAGCTCCATAGCTAAACATATCTCCCCCCCCCCCATATAAAAAAATATCCTCTTACGTGGCAATCTTCATTAAGAGAATTTTTGCCGTAGGCCGACACTGTCACTACATCCTAGATAATTAACTCTAATTTAACCATAAAGTAGCAGCGGTCAATGTAACTACGCTTAAAATTATTTTTGTGTCATTTGCTATGAAGCGTAAATAAATAATACGTTGTCGTGGTATGGATGAGTCTATGAAGCAACTTTATCCTTCATACTGGTCATTCGACATGTTATACTGGTATTTGACATGTGTACTAGAGTTTTATTGAGGATAGCGATTGAGCAGGAAAAACATGTGTCTTTAGTTCCGTATGCAACATAATAATAATATTGTTACTTGATAATATTTGGCATTCCAAAACGTACTCATATAATTATTAGCAAAAATAATAAAGCGAATGGCTTATTTTAGAAGTCAACTCGTCCATCACTGCCTGCCTGTCACGAGCCCGTTACTATGAAGTAAGAAAGTGAATTAGTTTGAAAGCAATCACGAAATTATAGGGCTAAACTACGCGTACATTTATTTCTTTAGTAACTTACATATGGCAGATCGTATTTATGTGCATATTAAACCCATTCTCACAGGTGATTGCATATTTTAGCTAAATGTAGTACTATTAATAATAATATAAGTTCAATTGTTGTCATAAAAAAGATCAGTTGTTGCCATAAATGGAATCTCCAGATAATAATTTTAAACATGTGTGAATGTCTTCCAATTTAAAATGATTTTGCAGTATAAATTTATTAAGTGACTTCAAATTAAGAATAAATCTATATTATCCGTTACTTTTATGAAATATCAGGGATATATATATATATATATATATATATATATATATATATATATACCGGATGCTTCAAAAAAAATGTATACACACTTTGAACTTCCATAGAAAATTTATTTACCGTTCTACAAAGTTAAATTTCAGGAAAATAGAAAGCTGAAAGTCCAATGTAAATGAAACATAAATAACAAATGTTAATACTGTTCAAATTGGTGACCTGCAGCATCAATACAATTCTGAGTACGAGTCACCACAGATTCTGTACATCGTATCAAAACGTCCAATGAGATTTCTCTACACACTGCTTGAATCTCATTCCAAAGAATGTCTAGGTTACGTGGTTTACGTTTGTACACCTCATCTTTTACTGTGCCCCACAAGAAGAAATCCAGTGGTGTAAGGTCTGGAGAGCGTGCTGGAAACTCGATTGGCCCCCTGCGTCCTATCCACTGGCCCGACAAATTTTGATCCAGGTAAGCTCGTACGTCCCTGTGATAGTGCGGCGGAGCACCATCTTGTTGAAAATAAAAATCATCATTACCGTATAATGCACGAATGGCAGGAAATATGGAATCAGCAAGCATTGTTAGGTAATTAATACCAGTTACAGTGCCTTCAAATCGAAAAGGTCCAATGAGTCACCTTGAAGACAAACCGCACCACACATTTATACCAGGCAAATTTACAGCTTTCTCAATTGTAATGTGAGGATTTTCTTCACCCCAGTAAACACAATTGTGCCTATTGACAGTTCCATTAAGTTTGAATTGGGCTTCATCCGACCAAATGATGCTACCCATAAATCCCGGTTCACGTATCCCGTATCACGTAATAACCTGCTTACGTTCTTCAAAACTCAAACGTACGTCCCCCATGTTGATATTACAAATTCCAACTGATAATATAACATAGAGGGACTATTATACTGCCACCTGGCGAAGAAATATAACATTAGCCTTGTAGAGCGGAAAAACTACAATAGTTTAAAGTGTGTATACATTTTTTTGAAGCACTCTGTATATATATATATATATATATATATATATATATATATATATATATATATATATATATATCCCTGATACAATTTGCTTGATCAAATTCAACATTGCGGTTTTAGAACCAAGAGGATTACCGGGCTTTACAGGTTAGGTAGGAGTTGGACTGAATATTAACGAATAGCACTTTACTACATGTATATTCATTATATGGGGATCCATTGTTACGTTTAATCAATTGTGTAAACAGTATTAAATACGCCCAGCGTGTGGTACCTTTAGCGACGGCTGTGATAGTTCTGCAGCCAGTTGGTCAGTGGTGGGCGCCATGTCGCTTGCGGTTGCCTGCGGGCGGCGCGCTGCTTAGGTGAAGGGTAGAACCGCGCCCTCACGCAGGCTGCACGCGCTGCTCCCTGGCCGCTCGGTCGGCGGGAGGCGCCGTGCCGCTGGCGGTTGCCTGCGGGCGGCAGGCAGCTGTGGAGGGAAGATCTGAGCCTGTGTGCAGGCTGCACGCGCTGCTCCTTGCCCCCTCGGTCGGCGGGGAGCGCCGTGCCGCTGGCGGTTGCCTGCGGGCGGCGGACTGCTGTGTAGGGAAGATCCGAGCCTGCGCGCAGGCTGCACGCGCCGCTCCCTGCCCGCACGGTCGGTGGGGGCGCCGTGCCGCTGGCGGTTATGCCTGCGGGCGGCGGGCTGCTGTGTAGGGAAGATCCGAGCCTGCGTGCAGGCTGCACGCGCCGCTCCCTGCCCGCATGGTCGGCGGGGGGCGCCGTGCCGCTGGCGGTTGCCTGCGTCGCTTCCTGCACACCTGTACCCATGGTTTTTCTAGTAGCAGACAATTGTGATCTTTTGATCTGCTGGCTAGATTTTTCTATTGACTTGGTTAGTTTTGATACTTTCACTTAAATTGCCACCGAAGAGAAATTTTTAATGAATTGAATTACATTAATAAAGTCAACATTGGGATAATTAACCGTCTACGATTCATTGTTTCCTCGTATTGAAAGTCTAGTAGAATTTGATTTATTTCGTATATTTGTTTAATTATTTCGTATTTGTTCATTTCTTTACTAATTAACTCTAACGTTAGATGTGCTAAACCTGCAATGCCACAACTAGTTTGTTTTGCAGTTTTTCTAAACGCCAGTCACGATTTTTGGTCGATTTATTAATTACTGACACAACCTCGATGTTCAATCTTGGCGCTTCAGCAAGTTGAAAATTTTCGTGGATTAGTGTTTTGGGGAAGAAAGTTTCTAGAGTGGCAGCCCTGTACCGGTAGGCGCAGTGTAGGGTGACCCCCCTCTAGATGGAGTGACGACCTGGTAAGACATGCAGGAAGTCTATGGATGCAGGCGGCTCAGGACCGTGCTTTGTGGCATTACTTGGGGGAGGCCTATGTTCAGCAGTGGACTTGTGAAGGGCTGTAATGATGATGATAATGATTGTTTTAGTAAGCAAGTTTTCTTTCCGTTCTTTCGTCAACCCTTATATTTTTTTATGATTTTACCCCAACGTTCAGAGACTTCCGTAGGGATGTTCTGCCCAAAACTTTCTTCGGACATTTTTGCTTCTCCAAGAACTGCCAAGATTTCTGGGGGCGGGAGAGTATACTTTCCTCATCTTGTGATGCTGAATGAACAAGGACTCTTTCCGAAGACTTTTTAGTAATAATAGTTTAAGCTTCAAGCAACAGGGGTCAGCGTGGGTATTTCAATGACGGCCTGCGACGCTCCGCTGCGGCTTCTTCCTCACTGACATTACCACTGCCACCGCCGTAGGTAATCGTACGCGTCGGACTCTATTTCTTCACACTCGTCGCAACAGTTATATTCAAGATCTAATAGAACAAGGTTAAATCGGCTTAATATTTACTTTCTGGATAACATCACGTATCACCACATTAAGAAAGTAAGTTTTATATTTCCGGGTAACATCACGTGCCATCAATGATGAAATATTGGTATAAATACTTCAGACAATAACAATAGAACCACCCGGCAAAGTAAACTGATCACCCATATATAAAATATAAAATACTTCAGACTATAAAAATAGACCCATCCCGATTATTAGCTCCTCACTTTCAAGTTAACATCACGTGTCGCCATTTTGCACATTTAGAAAGTAAGTAAATTATTTCCGGATGACATCACGTGCCACCACTGAGGAAATAAAATAACTTGAAATTTAATAATTAATATGTGGGTACTTAAATTAAAATCACACATTAACATTATTTATGTACAATGTTCTTAGTAAACTTTGCTTATTAAAATATTATCTTTATATCACTTGTTACTGCAACTATAAATAAGGAAAATAAAGTTAATTATCGTTTAAAAAGGTTTCAAAACTAACCTTTATTACGGAAATCCTCGGGCGTTTTTCGACGAGACTTTAACTCCTTTTCCAAACGTGATATTTTGTTTCTAATTTCATCATCGGTCTTCTCACGTGCTCTTTTTCTCATTTTTACATAAATTTAAATTAAAAAAAATCTCTTCTTGCGGGGCACACGCGGATGATGCAACACACGGAAAACGAATGATCGAAACGCCCGGCCGGGCCAGTGGGCTGACAGTGACATACAAAAGTCAATGGACAATCTTTTTATTAATTTTTTTTTGTAAAAATAATATCTAAAATTCGTGTAATGATGCAGTAACACAGAAAGCGGACTACATAGTTATTAAATCTGCTAGGATGCAGCAACTAAGCATAATGCCAAACTTCTTCATAGAATTTTGGCATTATACTACTAGAAGATTTAGTACCGCATACTTTTTTCGTTGTTTTGTTATAGAATTAATAACAGATATTAAGGCAACTAAGCCATTAATTTTCATGTAAGTTTTAAATTTTTAAAACTTGGGATTAATTAATAATATCAATAAAAAGATTTTAATAAATAAACGCAATATAATCATAAACTAAACGCAATTATGTTATTAGAAGTTGCCATATGTAATATAAAAGAAATATCGAAATGGTAATTCATTATATAGAAGTAGAAATAATATTATATATAATTATATACTTACATATTATATCTTAGAATGCATTCATTGTTATATAAAATCATAATATTTAACGATTTAATGATAGGAATGATTTTAGTCATTACAGTCAATTTTTTTAATTGTGAAGAAAATCTTTCTTTCTATTCTATTAATCTGGCCGTTTTTACGCTGGGTTGAGCATCACCTTCGTACTCTATCTCTTGATAAAAGTTTCGCGAAAGGACGCTATATTAACTGTGCTGTGTGCGTTCGTGCTTTGTCGAATTTGCAATGTGTGAATTACAACGTTCGCTTGTCCCGAATAAAAAGGCACGTTTTATCCGATGAGAGTGAAAATGTCGTCAATACTATTCGACTGTGGACATATCCTAGAGATGTAAGTTGTTTACGAATAACATTCTGCATATGAGTAGGCTAGTGACAAACTCAAAAAGAGATAAGATTTGCGTATTGAAAGTATCCATACCACACTAAAATATGTATATAATCTACTAGAAACTAACAAAAACGGCTATTTGTGTGTATATAACATACAAATTGCTATTTACATGTATTTTATTTTTTATGAGAGGAAAGTATATTATGTTGAAAAGTACTCCAAATCACTTCATTATTTCCAGATAACACCTGTTGACCACATTTGTCATCCATGCTGGCAGCTAGTTCATTCATATTTATCTAATAACTTGCCGATAAGAACAGTTGGCCATCAAAGTAGATCTGTTGTATGCAGACGATCCATACTAAGAATTAGTCGACGCAGGATTTTGATTGAAGGGGCAAATGAAGAAGAACAAAGAATGGCTAATACAGTTTCTACTTGGATCCACTCACTAGAGGTATACATACTTATTTATTATACTACATTATTAATTTTCTTTATTCAATTTAAACTGAGAAATAAAATGATATTAATTATTTCCCACTACTACCATGCATGTTTGAATGTAAGCTTTTCTTTATTTTATATTTTTTGTTTTAGCTTCGTTATGAAGATGAAGCTTGTGTGCCATGCTGGCTAAGAGCCAGATGAACTAGGAGTGCTCCACCAGTAGAACATATACTGGTACAACCCCCTTCACCTGATCATGTGGATGGTGATCATTCTCTTTTAACATATACTGTATGTGGTCAGATTGTGTCCACCACAAAATGAGATGAAGAGTGGAATCCCTACAACACTGCCAATTTGTTGGAGAACGAGCAGGTATATATGAAATACTATATTTATAGTAACTAGCTTTAGTTATTTATTTATTGCATTTACATGTGGTTTTTTGTGATACATTACAGCACATGCACTCAGCAATGGTATAACAACATGAAATAAAGCTAGCTAGTCTCTAATGTCTTAATTCTAATACTAATATATAAATATTTTTCTAATATTATTGTTTTTCTAACTCTATTATATCTTTTCTTCTATCTCTATTATATCTTTGGGTCATGTATTTATTATATAGTTTAACTGCCATGAAATATGGTTGAGAACATAGATAAAGAAAAAAACTTCATGAATGGCTTTTACTTAACTGCTTCTATACTGTTAATGAGTATTGATCACAAAAATCAAAACAAATTACATATTTAAATATCTGTATCTAAAAATGCTTGAATTTTTTTGCTGTAAAAGACTTCGATAGTTATAGAGTAATTATTAGTTAGTTATTTTTACTGTTTTTACATATGAACATTTATATTTTGATATTTGTAAACGATTGAGTGACATTGTTTTTAGTATAATTAATCTTTTGACATATATTTTATTATCAATTGCACATTTTTATATTACAATAATAAGTTAAATTCATCAATAATTGAAAAAAATATTGTTATATCTATTTTATACAAAATATTACTAAAATATTACAAAATTTGCACGCCTTGATAAGGCAGAATATATAGGAACTTTTATGTTTTAACAATACTCTTGTAGTATCTACTTACATTCTACGCAAATAAATAATTATGAATTATGAATTATTGAAAGTGGTTTTAGGCAATATTAATTTGTTTCTTCATTTATATTATTATCACCAGCTTTTTGAATTATATCTACATATTTTCTTACAAATTTAGATGATTCTAATATGTATAAAGATGTAATTGTTAATAATCTTTTATTGTATGAAATATGGTTCTAGCAAATATTGGCTCTAGGGAAAGCCCTAGAGCCAATATTTGCTAGAACTCTTATACATTGTTTTGAGCGATAATATATATAAATGATTTTGGATGTCTGTACAGATTCCCAACGACGGTGTACGGTTAACGCTTGTCATGCAAAGGGCATTACTCCTAAATGTTACTAACCCTGGGACACTCATGAGGTGGGTTCTACTATCAACAAAGTGCCCTTTACTCTACAACTTATTCACACAACAGATATACGATATAGCTATTTGGCAAAGGTTTTCTGTAAGGTGGAGGCAACCAATTATTGTATCTCAAGAACCATTCTCCAGGTTGAGTTGCTCAAATTCAATCAGGAATCTCGCTGTATCCTACCCATTATCTTTTATGTGTTTCTTTTATGCTTGAAAATGTTGGGCACAACTTGTGTCTATCGAACTTAGTGTTTAATTTGTATTTCATCAATACTATTTTTATATCTATAGCCATCTCATGAAACAAATTATTTACAGATGTCATCCATGAATGAAGTTTGTGAAGTTTACTGGGACAAAGCTCGAGATTTGAGCTTACATGTACCAGAAGGACCATAAAAAAGACCCCAGCATATTGTGGTGCCCAATATAAGAATTTCCGCTTTCATGAAATATATACACTAGAGGTATCGCGAGAGAGAATAGGTGGTTTAGAGAGAATAAACCCAATATTGCTTCATGCTAAATTAAGTCCCGCCATTTTTCCACTAAAACTTTGTATTTATAGTTACAGAAACAAACATGATTGGTCGGAACGCAATCAGAAGTTATTGCTGTAACTGCATTGTAGGTTTAAGAGCAGTGGAATGCTACTCACATGTTATGAGTATTATTTGGTACCTAAGCCATGTTCGCCATGAGGGTATTACCTGGCCTAGATGAAGTTTTATTAAGAATTCATTAATTATAAGTACAATAAAATAAATGAACTTAAAAAACAAAATATTCTTTATTTACCTACACTCAAAACCCCATCAGAACTTCATCATTATCAAATTGTTGCAGTCCGCTGCTGAATATAGATATCTCCTAATTCACGCTACGCTGAGTAGATACGGATCCTCATCTCAATCTACCTACTTAATGGTAGAACCACGCTTTAGCTATAATTTAGTTGTAGCACAAATGACTGCTCAGCCGGGCAAGAACTACGCTCTCCCAGAATACCAGTGTAAAATAGCAGCTTAATACTGCTGTGTTTCGTATGATGAGTGTAGAGATCCGGAGTCCCTTTTTTACTGGAAACCAGGCATTCGATCCTAGTCCTCAGAGGGGACAACGCATCTGAATTTTGATTCTAAATCGAGGATAATGTGGGTGTCCATGGGCCACAGCATCCACTAACCATCAGGTGGACTGTCTGTTCGATTGTCACCCTTATTCTATAAAAAATGGTTAGTAAAACATTACAGAGTAGTGAAAAGCAATATAGAATATTTACTTTATCACAAAAACAATATTTATTTGCCTATATGTAACGATCTACATAGGTACACGAGGAGAGCTTTTGGCCGTCAACGGATTGTCGCCCCTGTTTTGTAGCTTGAATAATGGTTTGAAGTAGATTTTGATTCGTAAAAGTGATGCGATTTTGTGAATTGTCTGCACGTGTGAACTACTAGAGAAAACGACGAAATAAGTGGTTTGATGTTGATATGATCTCCCAAAAATTGTGATGCAACAAAATGTGACGTATCAGCATATTGTGATGAAAATAAAAATGAAGATTACGAAAGAAATGATAGGCTCAGAAGGGCTAGAACCCAAAGCAGTAAAGCCCGTTAAAAAATTAAAACTGGTTATAACTTTTGTGTCCCAAGTTGTAAAAATCTAAGAATTTAAAAGGGTAGAACCTACTAACTACCAATTAAAACCAAAAATATCCCAAAACACGAAATTTTACTAGCGGTACGAAACTCCCATTCAGGCCTGCCATTCCCCTTTGGAAGCTTCGCGTTTGAGAGGTTATAGCTTGAAAAGCAAGCCATCGTGCTAGACTTCGTTGAAAGTTTAGGCGACGTTGAAGAAGGGCACCGGTGTAACGAATTTGACCGTTACCAGTTTAGGGAGAGAAGCCCTCTAGGATGTATTCCGTGCGGCAGTGGATCTGATTAGTACACGAGCGCTGAGAGGTCGTAAACTCGAGTTTAACCTCGAGCTTACGCCAGTCCACGATGGTTTTGGTCTGAAGGACCTCACCTGCGGGCTGACCCAGCTGCAAAAGGACTGGTTTATGGTCCGAGTTAAGCTCTCGGATTGACTCGATGGATGTTATCGACAAT